ACTAAGATTTAATATAAATATAGTATTGGAGTTTTCCTTTAAACAAAGAAAATAGAAGAGAACCTATTTGGACAGAATTAGTATTGACCGCATGATAAGTATAAAGCCTGGTTTTGAAACAACGTTGTATAAGGCCCCGGCCACACGAGGCGGTTTAACCGCGCGAAGTTAAGCCGCGCGAAGTTAAGGGCTTCGACAACACATTGAATCAAATGAGAGTGGCCACACGAGGCGAAGTTTAGCCGCATGTGCGGTTGAGCCGCAACATGTCGTCCCCCGACCGCGCGAAGTTAAGCCGCGTTGGAGGGGATGACACATGTAGTCTTATGAGAGTGGCCACACGATACGGTTCGACCGCGCGGCAGCCGCGCTTATTGGAGATATTCTTCGGACATTTCCAGTGGTTTTTGAGTTTGTTTTGTGTATTTTTTACCGGTTGTGTGGTGTTCAAACAATGGTTGATACATATGAACTCCGAACTATGGTTTCGCATGTGCTCGTAAAAGGTTTGGAACACAAAAAATTGTTTTTCCGTTATGAAGGGATGGACCCAATGATTTATGTTAACGTTCCAGATCACCACACGCTTTTAATGCACAAACTAACATTTAAGTGTTTCACCAATGACTAAAAAGAGAGAACCGAACTATGTTTTAATAGAGTACTGATACTGGGAAAACCCAACAGGAAGCGGTTCATCCGCCCCGTGTGGCCAGGCACTTCGCGCGGCTTAACTTCGCGCGAAGATAAGCCGCGCGGCTTAAATTCGCCTCGTGTGGCCGGGGCCTAAAATGGACTGCAAACTGTAAGTAAATGAAAAAATAAACAGATTCTAGTTGATATCATACCAAATCGACTCAATATCAAATCTATTTTCCGTATTACGTTTGCTCGTACAGCAACAAGTAAATCCAAGTATACTGTAGTTAGAACCTCGATAACAAGACTCTCTCATAGTCACGGGGATAATTGATTAGACTTGTTACCAAGGTTGACTTCTTGAGATTTGCAATAACATGTGATTAGGGGTAAAATGAAATCTAAGGGGCACTTGTTATCAAGGGCGACTTACCACTGAGAGTCTTGTTATCGAGGTTCCACTTTGATGAAACATTAATCTTGTTTATAACCAAGCAAACGTGGTATCTTTGGAAGTGAAAGAAGTTTATTGTGAAATAAAGGACACAATGTACGAATCTAAAAGAAAAAGTATGAAATCAATTATCAGCGGGTTCACATACATAAATATTTAGCTGCAAATGACAATGCAATGGTACCAACTTAATTAAATTAGAAACAAACTAATTTAAATTAAGCCACAGAAACAAGTAGTCCTAATTTAATTTAATTTCATAACGAACTAACCATAAATTAAAAGTGTACACAATTGATAATTAATATTCAGTTTTTTCACGGACATAAATATTCGGCCGCAGAGACCAGCGGTGCCAACTTGACGCGATGTATATTTCTAGTTGGTATTCATCCAACAGTGGATATTCACGGCCGCGGCGACGACGCTATACGTGTGGCAGTGGCTGTGGGGCATATCAATAGATCTCCCTCCCCTCCCCTGACTGTGGGGGCGTTATCATCCACTGCCCTCTAGATAACGGCGGCGTGTTTATTAACGGGAAATTGTCGACGTCCATCCAAGGGTCGGATTCGTCATTAGTTAACTAAGTTAATCGTTCTAGGAATTGTTTAGTTCGTGGATTAAGTTCCCAAGAATTGGGAAAGGTAAGTTGAATGTTTAATTACATAATAAATCACAATTGTATTTTTCTTTAGAAGTCTATTTGACGTGAAATGCGGTTTTCGAATTACAAAACTATATACAGTTATAAAATAGGAAAGCTCTACTTTCATCATGTAACCAAACCGTACTTTTCACATAAAATAGCGTAACAATCCAAAACATATACCAACGTTACCAACGATATACAACTCTCACAGAATGACGAGGTGTTATTTTTCCAACATATATAAAAAGTGAAAATTAGTTCTCCACGAAATTGAGAACCTGTCTTTCTTGCAAGGCGATTTACCTCAGCACCAAACAATACTTAAAAAAATAGTTAAAAGGATCCATCCCTCAACAGCATGCTCTTTTTACGAATCACACAATATTCCGACCATTTCCTACCAAAGCCAGCTGAAACTCATCTCAAGTATTCCCGAGTGCAAAAAAAACAAAACTGAACAACTCTGAGAGAAAAGGCAAACAAACAAGAAAATATGCTTTGAGCAAGTAGTTTGAAGGCTGGAAGAGGCAGAGTGGCCGAGTAGGTTAATATTTTATTTACGCAAAGCGCCCAAATCGTTGTTTTACGTTGCTAATGGGACGACCCTAGCCCCTCGAGGGGTAATAAAGTGTTTGGAGTCCACTTGCCCCCCCCCCCCCTACTGAGGCGACCCCGGAAATTTTAATCCCACAATTACGTTTTCTCAGCAGTCGCTATTTTAACCGAGTGGCCATTAATTACACAAGTTAAGCGTCATCTCTGGGTGTAAGGGAGGTCGATTATAACGGTTTGCATTTAACAGTAAGATACTGGTGGTTCAATACACTCTTGTGTGAGGGGTTGGTACACAATTGACCTTGACAGTAGTGAAAAAATACCCCCGCCGCAGCAAACCTGCAGACTAAGCGAATTTCCATTTGACTGATTGGATTTACACTGAAATGTCTACTTAAAAATATAACATTTATTCCCGATTTAAATAGAATTAGTTTAACAAGTACTTAGGTTTGCTGCATCAGGGAGGGTAAAACTGTTTTTTTTTGTAAAATGTTAATAGTTAGTAAGAAATAAAGACATTTTCCAAATTTGATCATAATATGTTCATAAACAAGCAAACTACAACAGTTTACTCATTCTCCATAAGAATAACATGGGAATTTTAAATTTACAATTTTTTGGAATTTTCTCCGTAACCATTAGGCGCATAAGAACGCTTCAATATACAAAATTATTTGTTTTTTGAAGCTCTACAAAATGGTTTGGAAAGAAATTGCTAAATTTTATGTTTTTTGGGTCAAAAATGGGAAAAACCTATTTTTACCCCATAAAACCCCCCGTAAACCCCCGTTCCCATGGTCCGATCATGCTGGATCGCGAACTCGTTCGAATAAACGTACGTTTACACGTTTGTACCAAATTTCATCAAAATCGGATCATTTTTGCTCGAGTTATCGTGCTGACGGACACATATATATATATATATATATATATATATGAATTTGAACGGATGGTGTTTTTGGCCTCTAGGGACCTCAAAACGAAAAAAAAAATCGGTCCCGCGTCCAGGTCTTACCATGAGTACTACGGTAATAGCTTATTCCCTATATGGGAAATTCGCTAAAACAAGATTCACCTTCTTCGTTTGGTAAAGGATAATAATATTAACTACATAAAATGACAATAATCATCTGAGGTTTTTATTTTACGTAGAACTAAATGAAACATGCCTTCTTAATGTTTGTTACAAATTATTTCGCGCGGCAGGCTAACTAACTCCCACTTAGAGGTGAAAAAAATTGGGAGGATACAGTTAGGTTGAACGAATTGTGTTGATTTTTAACGACAACTATGTTAATTATGATATGGGAAACTGACTTGAAAATGTACTCCTTGATAGACTAGATTGATTATACAAAATGAGATTTGCATTGGAGTCAAGGACATGTGTATGCAACCATTTCTAGAATATTAATGCTACAATGTAGCTAGATTTATCCTGTTATGCAGCATTGTTATAAAAAATAAATAATCTAATAAAAAATCAACTAAGCTGTCAAAGTTATCTTGCTCCACGAAATGCCAATAATAGGCAAATATAACAAGACACAAAAAGAACAATGAGGTGATAAACATTGTAGTTAAAAACATTTTAAAATATTTGCCCTCATTAGCAACACTCAAAAGCACTAAACAACGTTTATAGGAATTGATATGATACCTCGAGCTATGTGGCTGCAAGTTCTGGTTGAAGGTTTTCACAATCACTCCTGTTATTAGATGTAATTGACTCAATTACCTGATAAGTGATTGTAATCTGATAGTTACAGCCAGGAGAGGACCATTCCTGACGAGGGAGGGGGAGTGAGAGAGACAGAGACAGAGGATGGGGGAAGGGAACGTAGAGCGCATCTCAATCAGATGGTGGATAATGCATTATGATTGCCTTGCCGATTACTGATTACCGTATCAGCTGGTGAAAGCTTTAGGGGGTCTCCTAGACCAAGAAGCTCTTTTGCAGTTGCTTTTGCAGAAAAAATTCAAACCTCAGGCACTATCTTCAAAAGCTATGATTGTGACAAAGGATGATTTTAAAGGTTAGTATTGGTAAGACTATGTTTGGATTCAAAATAACTTGTTTCTCAAGATTAGAAAGGTTTTTGATTATTAGCCATCCATTGCATGCTTAACAGACGTTGAAGTAGCTTATCTCTTTTCTAGTTATAGAAAGAATCGATTCATTTAGGTTTGAACTTGGGTTGGGTATTGATGAATTTTAACAAAAGGATGCCGGACCGATCTTGGGAAAAGTCAGTAACTTTTGATTGTTCAAAATTGGACCTAGCTGTCCATGACTGATCATTGGGCTTGATTCTGGCACAACAGCTGATCTTAGTCAGAAACAACACACATCGGCACACTCCATTCTACCCTCATCTTTCACTCATATTTGGGTGCTAGCACAGAAAACAGTGCATAGCAACGCTGGTAGCGCTGCCTACGAACTGACAGGCAAAGCTCTCTCAAAGTGCTTAACGCTTTTTACTAAGCGGTTGGCATTCTGGGTTATAGTAGTATGTTTTATGTGGTGCTAGTTACGCACATATGGAGGAGATATGGAGGTGGCGTCTCCATACCAATTAATAATGATGGTTACGGTTGGTTTGTTTAGATTAGATTAAGATCATGTGTTTAGTTTTACAACATTTCATATGGTATGATAAATTACAAAGGTTCAATATCTAGTAATATGTTTACCTGTAGTGGGACGACGGGCTGGGTGCCTGGCCGGGTGGGAGCCCACTCCTCTCTTTCTCGGTCACTGAAACAAAAGTAACAAGTGAAACAACTGTATTGGAACACAAACCTAGCATTTCATATGGTTTTAATAAGATTAGATAAGATTGTAAGATTATACAACTAATGTTTAATTCAGCTTATTGCGTCAGAGATATAACTTGTGACAGGACACTTCCTACTATATAAAAAAAATGTTTTTGTGAAAATGTTTTGTAAAAATGTTTGCAAAAACACGAAACTACCACCAAAATGCAAAATGTATGTTTTAACAGTTTGTTGATTTTTATTCAAAGACAAAGAGTTTTGTATGAATGCTGTGAGAGAAAAGGTTAAGTAAAGTTTGGCGGAATGCGCCGATTCGAAGGCGCCGATTAGCATTTGAGGATAAAAGACTTGAAACTTGCTAGATTAAAGCTAAAATACTGTTCACACTTGTGAAAAAGTATAAGAACATATACATATAAATCTCCATTCATACTTGGCTTAAAATACCTACTTTGTATGGTCGCCATTTCATAAGAAAGTATAAAAGTATTAATAAAAAGTAGGTTTGATAGGCATGCAGTTTCAACAAAATGCAAGAACAGTATTACAAAACAAATAACAACAAAAAGTTTCTATATTAGGATTTGCATAACAGTCTAAACACATTACAAAATAAGATTCATACATTTCATGCCGTCACCCATAGTAACAATCATATGCACACAAAGATAAGCTTGACACAAAACAAGCACATTGAAACGATCATAAGCCCACAGCCACGTGATGATGTGATTTTATAGTGAGGACATGGCGATAAAAAGTAGTTATCAGACCGTAAAATGGAAATGAAAGGTCAAACGAGGCAACATGTGACGCGGCAAGAGGTTCGGGGGGAGGGGGGGGGGCTATAAACACTAACAAGTGTCGCAGTGAATTGTGGGTAATGCACTGTTTGCATCTATCTGTCTCACTCGCACTCACGTGTTAACTGGTAAACGAACCACACCCGTGGTATCTTTGTGAACTATTGACAGTTTGTAGGGTTGACTAGTAAAAAATTACAGTTGAGAAGTGTATTTTACAATGTAAAGAGTTAACTCGTAAATGGATTGACTCTTTGAAATAAAGCCAGTGTATAAGGATGACTGGTAAAACGGTCACATTTGTTAAATAAATGTTCAACGGTGTATAGAGTTAAATGTGCATGATTATTAAACCCATTTGATAGTGTGTAGGGTAAATTTCAACAGTTATTCTGACCGTGTATAGAGTAAGGGGTGTGATGACAATTTCAACCATTTGACAATATATTGAGTCAAATTAACGGTTAAATTATTACCAATATTCTTTCAATGTTGTATATAGTCGACTGGTGAAACCTTTTTTGAAATATATCTTTGCAAGGTGGTATTTTGAAAAAAAACTTGTTTTGCCTCTCCACGATAGTAACAAAATAAATAAAAGCAACATGTAGGAGTTTCGAAATGTCTAAGCCAAGACTATTCTCGTAATTTAAAAATTTATAAAAATTGTATCTATACTTATAAAAGTCAAATACCATTGACTCACTGATCACTGTATCTCAAAAACTACAAGCAGTTAAGAACTTAAAAAATTGGCATGGAGGTTTCAATCAAGTGTGCAATAAGAAGCGTGTTCAAGAAATTCCATCAGGGCTCTGCCCCATTGATTTTTAAGTTCCTATGTTAACCTTATGGAGAAAAGATTTGTACATAAAATTAAACTGAGTAGTTTTACAATTTCCAAAAGTGATTACGTCACACTACATGTTTTAAACACCGTGTATGATCCATGAAGTGGCACTGAGCAAAGTAAACGTTGCTTAGATGAAGAATTGCGTCTTAAGAGTGAGAGAGATAGTGAGTGTGTGAGGTAAACTGTGAGACAAGCTTCTCTAGCTCCTCGCCTGTGAAAAGCTGTCAAAGCATCTCAAAGCTTGTAATCCTTAAAGCAGGATGTCTGCGGCAAAGCTTTGATTCTTGAACAAATCATCTTGTGGAGCATCAAAAGTACATCAACATCAGTATTGCAGGAAATGAAATTGTAAAATATGTTTGATACAAAATCAAACATGCATTGTTTAATAAATACAGATCAAGTTTGGCATGAGTAAATTAAAATTTTCCCGGTTTCGGCTAGTAACGCTGGAAGGGTCTGGTTTAACGAAGGTAGATTTGTAAAAACCCTCAGGAATTTCTCAATGTTTTGTTGAAATTATAGATTTATTGTAATAAAGTGAAATAGTAATTGTATAGAAGACACGGAGTGTTTAAAATACCATCATAGGATCTCTACCAGCGCACTGGAGAAAACCGGGCATAAACCTCACATCAAAACACGTGTATTACAATTTAAAATAGGATTACTCGTCTAGTAACATTATTCAAAGTCAATAGTGTAGTTGAAATTGACGATAAGTTGGTGCTGTAAATAAGTTAGGTTATTTCAGCTAACTAGACCATTGCGTCTTCATACAATATCAAACCTAGCGTTTATGAGTAACAATGAACACACGTTAGGCTAACAATATAAAACGCGTTGTTGCCCGACAAAAGTGACAGCTGTAAGTATGAAATGAGTTGATTAGAACTATTGTGTTTCATTACAAGACATGCTTCCTTATAAGCAATTACGCGGGTAATTTAGTCTTGTAAAAATGGCGCCAAATGTGCTAGACAACAGGTGTGAGAATGAAATTATGGGATATAGTCAGGCTACGTACGATAACCAATGTAGAAAGTTAAATAGAAGTAGCCTATTTCACTGTAATAATATGAATCAATTGGTTTAAATCAATTTGATGACCTCAAAACTCAATGATATTGCAGATTAAAACGTGAATAGTTCAATATACAACTTTCTACTATATTAATAAATTGATTGATTTTGACTACTGCTAGTAGACCTCTCATCCTAATGTAAAAACGTATGCTTGTTTAGTTTCATGACAGGTTCAGTTGAAGTTGAGTGTGTGAACAAAATAGGTAATTCTTCAACATGAATATTAGGTCAAATTATTAATTGAATACGAATAAAAATTTTACAGTTAATTCGAAATCCTCACAATTAATTCATAAATACCTAATCCAATTCATTATTTTAAACAAACCCATTCTATTCGAGTTCATAATAATAAACAGAACAGAACCAAAATAACCTACACCTGGGATTAAAGAGTGAAACAAACAGCACACATTGCACCAACTAATAGCACTGCATCCTATTCAAGTGCTTCGGTGCATGCATAAGCATTACTTACATTTTAATTGTTGCCCTCTCCCCTCCCCTCTTTATCGATCCCCTCCCCCACCGTTACTATGGCAACGGCAGCAGCTGTTCCCGCTTATCTGACGACTACCTGCTGTCTTATCTTATCTTCCTTTACTGATAAGGAATTAAAACCCGTACTTCAGGTAAGTGAGTATGTAAATAGAAAACCGCAACAAAATATGGTAGACTTTTATTGTCTATATTTTTTCTTACTTTATATGTTAAAGACTAAAATAAATTGCTACATTTCAAAAATATTTTTTTTAACCTAAAGGAAGTACATTGTGCGTTGTGTTAGTTTAACACTCAGGAACTAAACGCTATAAAGCCTATCTATGATTACTAAAACAACATCAACAGTCAACATGCACAAATTAATAGCTATACCACACCAATGCCAAAGAAACGTTAGTACATCATGCAAACAAAAGATGATAATGATGATATCGATAAGAAAGATGATACATTTTTTTAATCGTAAAAATAGGAAAAAACCTCGCAAAAATCCTTGGCATTATTTAAAATAAAGTTTTTCGTAGGATATGAAAACAATTTCAAAAAGTTGCGAAAAATATATAAAATCTTAAACTTAACACACACACAAAATCAAACCACTTACGATCGATTCGAAACTCTCTCCTTTTTGCGAAGTCTGTGACCCTCTGCTTCGGTTTTGTCACTTCTGAAACAAATCACACAGCCTTTCTCAACAGTTCTACGGGAGTACAAAGCAATACAGATAGAAACAAGTCACCCCTTCGCTAAATCACACAAAATACAGATGTTTATTTTACAGTCAGTCCAATTATACATTGAAGACCACTCTTTGATTTTACCACGGGTCAAAGTGTAGAATCGCCGAAGAAGGGATACATGTTCTCCACATCTGAAATGAAATGAAATGAAAATCCTTCTTTGTTGAGGCGAACTTAGGACCTCATGGTCCTTTCTTACAGTTAACCTCTGTACAGTAAAACTCGAAGTTTTACAACAAATAGCAATTTATGAATTTTAAATATGGATTTGATATCTTTGAATTTGAATCAGAAATAAATAATAATATAATAATGCAATAAAATAATGAGACCTGATTAAAATATTATATCCGAAGATTGAAAGTTCGGTGAATCGTGGGATATTCCACACTACCGTGCTAACGATTTCTAACAAAGTCCAACGAGTTTTCCTGAAACAATAGAAAACACATTCTTACGCACTATCGCACTAATCAGCTGATAAGGTTCCCGGAATCCTTTGCTCGCCGTCCTCCAGGTTGGTACAACTGTGCGATGTTATCTTGGTGAAAGTCGACCGAGGGAATTACGCGTTTATCTGATAACAGCGTTGGCAACACTGCTTATTATAGTGTTATTTACACAGGTGTTTGTCGTTCCAGCTGGCTGAGCGCGGGCGCGAAACATGGCGCCTTCCACGACCACCGGGATTCACCGATAGGGTGAAATTTTTTTATTTATGTTTAGTATTACTTTATGTAAATGTATCACGATGTTGTGGGATCAACGCTTTCTGGAATAAACATATTGATCTTCATGAAGTCTCGTGTTAATGTAAAGCGTGTGCATTTTATATTGATTTTGTGACCCATTTTGACAAAATTGTAGTGATGTTATATTTACAAAAATAATTCACCACTATATGATACTGTTCTATAACAACCATTCCGTAACGGCAGAATCTCAAAAGCACCAACAAAAATAAAATAATTTTATTTCAAAAACCGTACTAACGAAAATGTAGTTGTGTTTAAAAATATCTCATTTGTCTCCACTTTGCGCTTTGAAAAAGAAAACCGCTTTGAAAAAGAAAACATGCTAAATAAACACTATAACGAAATTCATTGGGGTCATAGCTAAGGTTACCATAATGTGTTGACCCTAAATCGGGACATCGGCCAAAAGGGGGGAGATCAGGAGGAGGGCGTCAAGTAAAATTTGTTAAAATTAGACTCTGAAATTAGCGGATTTTAACCTATTTGGAAATATAATCTTTTAATTAACCTAGCTTGATGTACAAGTTTTTCAGTTAGGCCTAAGTAAGCATTATGATAAAACAAGATACACTATTATATCAGCTGTATTCGTATTTACTTTAACTATTCAGCAGATAGAGGGAACGATAGTACAGCATATTACTCAGACCAGGCGACACGTAACTTGCGAGAGTAGCGAAACATTGTCAAAATCCTACCCCGACCTCTTCAAGTAGATGCAAAGACAGCCAACTGACCGAGTAAACTATCGACCCACCCTCTCGAATCTTTGATCAATCCTTTATTCACTTGTTATGTGATTTGAGGCAGTAAAAAGGGGCAGTTCAGACATTAGAGGGGAGCTTAACCCCCCTGCCCCCCTCTCTGGGGGGGGGGGTTGTAAGGGCGCGGACTACTGCAAGGGACTGATATAGCGCCCTTGCTATTACCACGTTGAGCACGCCGAGCCACCTAATGCCGATAAAGTTACACCTCATTGCACATCCTTAATGACACGTACATCTTTCATCGTACTACAGAGAGTTATGACCCCGCGGTGAGGGGGGACGGTTTGGCGCGTTAATGTTAATGTTGGCGGGAAATTAACCTCGCGTAAACCGCTAATTACCCGTATACTGCGGCGATGGTCGACCGAGTGATAATCAATGTGGGAATGGGCTACAACAGCACTATTGTGGATGAGGTATTTTTACTTCGTTGATTTTTAAATTAATACTCGTTACGAATAAAATACTGTATTAAGAACAAATACCCCCGCCGCAGCAAACCTGCCGTCTAAGCGAATTTCCATTTGGCTGAATTGATTTTCAATCGATCTATTTAAATAACATTAGGTTTAACGAGTACCTAGGTTTGCTGCTACAAGGAAACTAATAAAGTGTGTGTTTTAAGTAAAATAATTATTGCTTAGTAGAAAATGAATATATTTGCCAAGTTTGATCAAAAGATATCCATAATCAAGCAAACTACAACATGTTACAATATTCTCCATAAGAATAACATGGGAATTTTAAATTTACAATTTTTTTAGTTTTCTCCGTAACCAATAACCGTACAAAAACACTTTGACATACTGAATTGTTTGTTTTTTTAAGCTCTTTAAGAAGGATTAGAGAAAAATTTTGAAATTTTGTGTTTTGAGGGTCAAAAGTGAGAAAAACCAATTTTTACCCCATAAAACCCCCCGTAAAGCCCCTTTCCCATGGTCCGATCGTGCTGGTTCGCAAACTCATTCAAGTTTATCCCGCTTTACACCTTTAAACCAAATTTCATCAAAATCGGAAAAAAATTACTCAAGTTATCGCGTTCACGGACGTATATATATATAAGTCTATATATATATATATATACATATATAAAAATTTGAACGAATGGTGTTTTTGGCCTCTGGGGACATCAAAATGAAAAAGTAAATCGGTCCCGGGCCTAAGTCTTACCATGAGACCTACGGTAATAGCTACTTCCCTATAGGGAAATTCGCTAAAATGAACAACAAGAAGATTCTTTTGTTTAATTGCAGTTATGTAGTTGTGAAATATCACCAACCATTTAAAAACTGTTGTCCAAACCGAGAAACAGTAAATTGTTCTTCAATAAAATGAAAGGTAAATAACTTTAAATAAATGAAAAACGAATTTAGATGGTTCATGTAAGAACACAAAATTAATCCTACACTCATGTAATACAACTACTGTTTTATTGAAGTAATTAAAGGATAATTAACTGATTTAATTGATAAGAGATTAATGTATTAAAAATATAAATAAAACAGACAGCTTCAATCGTAATGTTAACGTGCAGAGAGGGATGCAGCAGCGTGGCCTTGTAGTAGATCAATAGTGGCCACGCCCTAGAGCTACAGCTACATTCTTGAGCTTCACTGTCACTACACAACTGTGACACACATGAGAGAGATGCAGCAGCGTGGCCTTGTAGTAGATCAATAGTGGCCACGCCCTAGAGCTACAGCTACATTCTTGAGCTTCACTGTCACTGCAAAACTGTGACACACATGAGAGAGATGCAGCAGCGTGGCCTTGTAGTAGATCAATAGTGGCCACGCCCTAGAGCTACAGCTGCGTTCATTGAGCTTCACTGTCACTACACAACTGTGACACAGAAGAGAGAGATGCAGCAGCGTGGCCTTGTAGTAGATCAATAGTGGGCACGCCCTAGAGCTACAGCTGCGTTCATTGAGCTTCACTGTCACTACACAACTGTGACACACATGAGAGAGATGCTGCAGCGTGGCCTTGTAGTAGATCAATAGTGGCCACGCCCTAGAGCTACAGCTGCGTTCATTGAGCTTCACTGTCACTACACAACTGTGACACAGAAGAGAGAGATGCAGCAGCGTGGCCTTGTAGTAGATCAATAGTGGCCACGCCCTAGAGCTACAGCTGCGTTCATTGAGCTTCACTGTCACTACACAACTGTGACACAGAAGAGAGAGATGCAGCAGCGTGGCCTTGTAGTAGATCAATAGTGGCCACGCCCTAGAGCTACAGCTGCGTTCATTGAGCTTCACTGTCACTACACAACTGTGACACAGATGAGAGAGATGCAGCAGCGTTTCCTTGTAGTAGATCAATAGTGGCCACGCCCTAGAGCTACAGCTACATTCTTGAGCTTCACTGTCACTACACAACTGTGACACAGATGAGAGAGATGCTGCAGCGTGGCCTTGTAGTAGATCAATAGTGGCCACGCCCTAGAGCTACAGCTACATTCTTGAGCTTCACTGTCACTACACAACTGTGACACAGATGAGACAGATGCAGCAGTGTGGCCTTGTAGTAGATCAATAGTGGCCTCGCCCTAGAGCTACAGCTACATTCTTGAGCTTCACTGTCACTACACAACTGTGACACAGATGAGAGAGATGCAGCAGCGTGGCCTTGTAGTAGATCAATAGTGGCCACGCCCTAGAGCTACAGTTGCGTTCATTGAGCTTCACTGTCACTACACAACTGTGACACAGATGAGAGAGATGCAGCAGCGTTTCCTTGTAGTAGATCAATAGTGGCCACGCCCTAGAGCTACAACTGCGTTCATTGAGCTTCACTGTCACTACACAACTGTGACACAGATGAGAGAGATGCAGCAGCGTGGCCTTGCAGTAGATCAATAGTGGGCACGCCCTAGAGCTACAGCTGCGTTCATTGAGCTTCACTGTCACTACAAAACTGTGACACAGATGAGAGAGATGCAGCAGTATGGCCTTGCAGTAGATCAATAGTGGGCACGCCCTAGAGCTACAGCTGCGTCCATTGAGCTTCACTGTCACTACACAACTGTGACACACATGAGAGAGATGCAGCAGCGTGGCCTTGTAGTAGATCAATAGTGGGCACGCCCTAGAGCTACAGCTGCGTTCATTGAGCTTCACTGTCACTACACAACTGTGACACAGATGAGAGAGATGCAGCAGCGTGGCCTTGTAGTAGATCAATAGTGGGCACGCCCTAGAGCTACAGCTACATTCTTGAGCTTCACTGTCACTACACAACTGTGACACAGATGAGAGAGATGCAGCAGCGTGGCCTTGTAGTAGATCAATAGTGGGCACGCCCTAGAGCTACAGCTGCGTTCTTGAGCTTCACTGTCACTACACAACTGTGACACAGATGAGAGAGATGCAGCAGCGTGGCCTTGTAGTAGATCAATAGTGGGCACGCCCTAGAGCTACAGCTGCGTTCTTGAGCTTCACTGTCACTACACAACTGTGACACAGATGAGAGAGATGCAGCAGCGTGGCCTTGTAGTAGATCAATAGTGGCCACGCCCTAGAGCTACAGCTGCGTTCATTGAGCTTCACTGTCACTACTAAACTGTGACACAGATGAGAGAGATGCAGCAGCGTGGCCTTGTAGTAGATCAATAGTGGCCACGCCCTAGAGCTACAGCTACATTCTTGAGCTTCACTGTCACTACACAACTGTGACACAGATGAGAGAGATGCAGCAGCGTGGCCTTGTAGTAGATCAATAGTGGGCACGCCCTAGAGCTACAGCTGCGTTCTTGAGCTTCACTGTCACTACACAACTGTGACACAGATGAGAGAGATGCAGCAGCGTGGCCTTGTAGTAGATCAATAGTGGCCACGCCCTAGAGCTACAGCTACATTCTTGAGCTTCACTGTCACTACACAACTGTGACACAGATGAGAGAGATGCAGCAGCGTGGCCTTGTAGTAGATCAATAGTGGGCACGCCCTAGAGCTACAGCTGCGTTCATTGAGCTTCACTGTCACTACACAACTGTGACACACATGAGAGAGATGCAGCAGCGTGGCCTTGTAGTAGATCAATAGTAACCACGCCCTAGAGCTACAGCTACATTCTTGAGCTTCACTGTCACTACACAACTGTGACACAGATGAGAGAGATGCAGCAGCGTGGCCTTGTAGTAGATCAATAGTGGGCACGCCCTAGAGCTACAGCTGCGTTCATTGAGCTTCACTGTCACTACACAACTGTGACACAGATGAGAGAGATGCAGCAGCGTGGCCTTGTAGTAGATCAATATTGGCCACGCCCTAGAGCTACAGCTGCGTTCATTGAGCTTCACTGTCACTACTAAACTGTGACACAGATGAGAGAGATGCAGCAGCGTGGCCTTGTAGTAGATCAATAGTGGCCACGCCCTAGAGCTACAGCTGCGTTCATTGAGCTTCACTGTCACTACACAACTGTGACACGGATGAGAGAGATGCAGCAGCGTGGCCTTGTAGTAGATCAATAGTGGCCACGCCCTAGAGCTACAGCTGCGTTCATTGAGCTTCACTGTCACTACACAACTGTGACACGGATGAGAGAGATGCAGCAGCGTGGCCTTGTAGTAGATCAATAGTGGCCACGCCCTAGAGCTACGGCTGCGTTCATTGAGCTTCACTGTCACTACACAACTGTGACACAGATGAGAGAGATGCAGCAGCGTGGCCTTGTAGTAGATCAATAGTGGCCACGCCCTAGAGCTACAGCTGCGTTCATTGAGCTTCACTGTCACTACACAACTGTGACACAGATGAGAGAGATGCAACAGCGTGGCCTTGTAGTAGATCAATAGTGGCCACGCCCTAGAGCTACAGCTGCGTTCATTGAGCTTCACTGTCACTACACAACTGTGACACAGATGAGAGAGATGCAGCAGCGTGGCCTTGTAGTAGATCAATAGTGGCCACGCCCTAGAGCTACAGCAGCGTTCATTGAGCTTCACTGTCACTACACAACTGTGACACAGATGAGAGAGATGCAACAGCGTGGCCTTGTAGTAGATCAATAGTGGCCACGCCCTAGAGCTACAGCTGCGTTCATTGAGCTTCACTGTCACTACACAACTGTGACACGGATGAGAGAGATGCAGCAGCGTGGCCTTGTAGTAGATCAATAGTGGCCACGCCCTAGAGCTACAGCTGCGTTCATTGAGCTTCACTGTCACTACACAACTGTGACACGGATGAGAGAGATGCAGCAGCGTGGCCTTGTAGTAGATCAATAGTGGCCACGCCCTAGAGCTACGGCTGCGTTCATTGAGCTTCACTGTCACTACAGAATAGGGACATCATTTTGATCATCCGTTTTGAAATAAAAAGGAATATTATTTAATTTTAGTAAATTAAATTGTAAAAGCCACTTTTATACTTATTGCATAGTAAATTGATTGAAATACTCGTGCCCTATAGCAATTTACTGAAAATAAAACTATTATTTATTTAAAAAAAGTTAATAATAGCAAAGGAAATCACTTTTTTACATAACCGAATGATGAGATTTACACTTGAAGTCCTGATTTTCCAGCAAATCAACGTTAGAGTTCCCCAACCCTCCCTCGACCGTATGATGTGTGATGTCGCAGTCATTGATGATTCAAGAGCTTTGCGCTCAACCGAAAACACTGATTGCATCCCCCTCTATCCGATGTTCTCTGCGTCCATAAAATGTTCTCCGTTTCTTCTGTGAGGTTTGTTTCAATGGTAATGACGAAACAGGGGATATACTTTGTGAATTTCAATAGCGTGCTCTCTATCTATAAATATATTTCTTTGATTTTGTACGGCTGACTAGAAACATTCCCGATACATTTTCAAACTATTTGAAGTTATTGAAAAAAAAACTTACAACATTGTTCAGCAATTTTTTTTAGGCTATTTAATTTTGAGGTTTAACTCTTCTTTATGACTCTTTAACTGACGTATTCCTTTTAGAACAGTATTACCTGCAATAATTTGACTCCTAATAAAGAAGAAGATGATGATACTATGTTAAATGAGAGAATGATCTACTGTTCTAGAAGATCTACAGAAAGGCAAGGGAAGGCGATCACACCCGTGTGTTATTTTACTACTAATGATGATACTTCTACTTCTACCATAGCTACTACTACTTCATCTCAAGGCTACTCACTCGTCGTAGTACTCCAAGGACAGGCTGATCTGATCCTCTGGTGAGTAGATGATCCTCTCCACGCCGACACCACGAGCCTCGGGGCTCAGGTACAGGTCTAGAAAAGAAAGTGGAAGTCAACACAAGAAAATGCCCTAAAGACTTAGCTACAGTTGTATTAGTTTTGGGGAATTTAAATCAGTCAAAACTCCCATGATTCTTGAACGTCGATGAAGAATTTTAAGTGCCTTTAAAATCACCTTTTCATGTGTTTGGGTGAACAAAATCGCCAAAAGATGCGTATCTGCGTATTTAGGTCTAAGAGCGTATGCCCAGATTGTTTAAAAACACTAGTAACCACAGTTATCAGTATCTCAAGTGGTCAATTAATTTCGTGACACTAATACATTCACTCAAAATGAATGAGCGAGTCCAATTTCATCAATGATTCTTTTTGAGGATTTGAGGACGAAGCTACTTTGCATACAATCCAGAAACATCTCGGATTTACAAAATAAACTCTACACAGTCCGATATTTATCACTGCCCGAGGTTCAGAAGCCATACAATTTACTGCCAATGAAGCACAGAGACAATGCCCGGCGGGCGAGGGAGCGTTGTTTTGACGGCGGAAGGAACTGCAGAACGGACGCGGATATTTTTCATCAGTTCCCTGTTTCATTACAGTTGCCTGGACCATGTTCCAGCGTTCCCCTCGTCCAGTTCCCCCTCGGAACACTTCTGACCATCTAACGACGAACCGCCCACGTCAAATACTTAGACATTCTGTGTTGGTGACAAAGCTATTTTGTGAAGGGAAGCGTTTTTGTTTCTTTCGGATGTAATTGTTTATAAAAAGAATATTATCTGGTATCCTTATATTACCTAGTGGTATTTAGTGCAGGTGTTTCTATCGAATGACTTGGTTTTCTCAAAATAATGAGTAGATTTTGTCTCTGTTTTTTCCGATTGGCGTATTTTAATTTAGTGTACATACAAGTATGATTAACCGTAGGGAAATGTCCATAGGGAGATTTACGAACCGCTATTACTTAATTTGAATATTAAATTTACTGTTTACAACCTTAAATTTAAGAAACACAACCAGGCTTCGATATTTAACGTTGTAATATCACACTTCTGTCACAATAGTACGTTCCTGAAAAATACTCCTTTCTCATCTTCTTCAAATTATAATTTCTCATCGGTAAAAATTTTTTTCATCAGAAACTGAAAGTGTAAACTACAGCATCTTTCATGTCGCCACCGACTTATCAGTATGCAAAACTAAATAAAAGGTAAAAATGTCATAGCAAACTCTCTAAAAGGCTGGTTCAACTGTGTTCTTTTTTCAGTAAAAGGCGTCGAGTAATACATCCATAATGATGGAATGTCTACCTCAGTAATCAGTATACAACTTCAGTGGTATACCTTCAACAAGGAGACCATAGACATGTCTACGGTAAGTGTACAGTGAAAGGTACATATCTAACATATATTGTGGCTGTACCCATATGTTCTTCACAGTCCTAGTAATTGATCACGAGAAAGAGGTGGAAATCCACTCCAATTTCTCCTCTCATGACCCGTTACTCTCGCATCAGTCACGGAGTCTACGTAACAGAGAAAACGCATTAATGGCTTTCCCACACCTTTACACCCGACACAGCGAGCAGAAGTAACGGCGAGAGTGGTTCTGGAGGTTGAAAATGGTGAAAAATTAAACAGTAAACACACGTAAGCGACGAACAGCATTTGGTTACTGTGATTTTATATCCTTTAAAGGAAAAGTAAAAAACCTGGCATTGTTGTGTAAAACCTATATATCTATCTAACGTCGTCCTTTTACAGCATTATGAATCAATTATCAATTATTTAAGATGGGGACGCCACTTTGTGTGTATTTTAACCCAATTATGAGTGAAGGATGAGTATAGGATGAGTGGCACGATCTTGTAGTCTTGTTAGTGACTAAGGCCGACATGTTCCTTAGACACAGCTGTTAATTAATAGCCGTTAGCTAATGTCAACTAAGGGACCTACAGTTTATAGTGGAATCCGAACCACATTTTTTCCTTGTAATTTTCGAATTGGTCTAATTATCAGGATAGTACTGCGGATAGTCGTAGTACTCACTAGTGCGGACGTTAATCCACACCAGGGAGCATCGCATCCACAGTGCATCCCTATAAATATCGATCCTTTGATTGTATTATAACCCCTTTCTGCGATTTAACAAACCTTCTTTGGTGTTTTGTTCACTACCTACGCAAACGGCATTGCCGTTAGTGACACAAAAGGAATTTTTATTTTATAGATGTGAATATTTTAAGACAATTCAATTTCCACACAATTTGGTTTATTTCAAACATGATTTAAGGATTTTGTCGTTCGACACTCAATCAGACTCTCGGTAAAAACGTCACCCTACAGTTTGCCCCCTCGAAAGGTCCTGGCAAGGATGCGAGACTATTTGTAGGAACGCCGACAAAAACAGCCTAGTGTGAAAACCGGAACGGGTTTGTGTGTCAACAATAAACGAAACTGCCTGGGATTAAGATCTTCAGACATCGTGGGGGTCCGGCAGCCACCGGGCTTCTGCTGGTACTTCTAACGCGTTCACTAGCTTGTGTAATTAGGAGTAAAACATTGGGTGACGTGTGAAAAAATGTTTTAAATTCTTCCCGACTTTCTTTGTAAGCCTATCTGAGATTAGATTACCCAGTGAAACGAGCTGAGGGAGGCTTTACTTTCCAAGAATTATGTTTTGGGAGAAAACTTACTAATTCAAACCCACGGTGTACAATGATTGGGCCACCCATACTTAATCAAATTCAACAAATATTCTTACGATAAATTGAAAAAAATCTAGATAATGTTTAGCGTTGTCTTAGGTTAGTACTGGCCATAGTACAATGGTTATGATGTAAAGCGTCAATCTGGTGTATCCGAGGCCAACAAATTAAAGGCGTATTTATCATAGGTATACCATCTTCAACATTGCAGAGAGTTCTGTTCCGCTCACCTCTGTTGGGATACTTGGCGTAGAACTCCTTCCTACGTCGCATCTCCTCGTGGTACAACCCCGGCACCAGCTTGTACACGATGTCCTGCAGAGTCTTGTCAGGTTTGAGGTTGAGGTGAGGCTTGGTCTTGTGGATCTGTACCTCGCAGATGGGACAGTAAGCCTTGGTCTCCAGGTACAGGACGATGCAACTGCGGCAGACTGTAACAAGTACAAGGAAAATATTATACTGTTTAACTAAAGATAATAGAGATTTAGATGTTACAGTCATTATTCTTCGGTATTTTCGGGGTGAGGATGGAGTAAGGTGGGCTTTGGAACTTAGATACAAACTAAGATAATCTGTTTCCAGGACCATTTTATCAAACGCCCAAGGAACAAGGAAGACAGAATATTTTCGTCAAGAAAAACTTTATTTTCAAACCTCAAAACAGTTGGAGACTTCATTTTAGATCCCTAAGACTATGAACAATTTTTTGGTACTTAAGACGACGGAACACTTTATTTGAGCAGTTTAAGACTTATACCTCACAATAAAAACCACCAAATTGAACATAGAGTTATGTAATTATCTTCAGTACTTTGGAGACGGCGATTTTAAATATTCGTATTTAGAACATACCATTAATGCAAATGAGGGTCTAATAGAGTAAGCTATAGAACTTTGTTACAAACTAGATAATTTTATTCAGCTAGCACCATTTATCAAAAGTCAATGAACAAGGAAAGCAAGACTTTTGGAATTCATTTTGGAACCTCAAAACAATTGGATACTTCATTTCAGAACCCTAAGACAAGTACCAATGTTATAATCGTGATTAAGCCGCTGGAAAAAGTTTATTGCCACAAAACCGTCTAAATATTGCTAACAAATTTTTCAACTGTAGTCGTTAGTGCTGTGTTCAGCTTCACTAAAGCGTAAGTGTTAACAAATCAGGGCATCCATTGGTGGCCAAATACACATCATGATGTGTCTTCATATTTGACACGAGAAGTAAGACACCTCTGGCTGTACTGTACTTGAGCCCCGGATGTACGGTGATGTAGACATGTATTATTCAACGACGGAGGATAACCTTAGTTACATAACTAGTGTTACCTTTCCATCTGTCTAGACCGCTGGGATTTAAATTACACAGTGCTCAGCTCGTTGGAATTACTTGTACAACCCATAACATCCGTGTACAACTTCGTCTACATGTACGTAACGATTTTTCGTTAGAAAAGATTTTTAGCAAGAAGCAAACCTTTTCAGAGGAATTTGTGTAGATTCTTTAATAGGGGGACGGGAGTAAGATTTGGAGAGGAGTAAGGGAAAATGCTCCCTTCAATGATAGGATGTAAGATATGTTTAGACAAAATACGTGGGCCTTATCTTATATTTATCATATAAACATCGGGCTACTTAAACAGCAAAAGGATGAGTTAATTGCAGGGGAGTGCATCCTCTTTCTCATGTACAATTTTTTTTTGACTTATTTTAATAATATTGTGCTATATTAAGAGTGTCTACTGTTAACCCCCCCCCTCCCCAAAAAAAAGGGTTATCCCTAGGTGTTAGATGGTGATTCTTTGAAACAACAGCCGAATCAAGCAATTTCATGAAGCAAATTCATTAACCAAGAGGCATGAAAATTAGTAGAGAAATCATTTCAGTCTATAAGTAATGTAGTTATTACAAAAGCCACAAGTACTCTTATTGGTTTGATATTATTACATTCCTGGAATTCCTTAAAAACTTCATTACTACTTGGCAATTTAAAGCCATGTCCAAGAGACAAAAAGTCTTCAAGCTCCCATGAAAAGTCCTTTCAACACCCAAAGATTTCGATGATGATGATGTTGATGAATTAAGTGATTTAAAACCTCTGTCAAATTACGTGGCTCACGAACCAATCCAATTCTTGAAAACAAATGTGGATTTAAATAACGAACTAAGCAATTAGACAATTTATATTGTATAGCTAAGCGAAGAAATAAGTGATAAAACTTAAAGTAGCCTACTCAGTGGAAAAGTTATACATTCTGACAAATCTTCAATAACCATGTTTGGTTATTCACTCAAGGCAGACTATGAACATCTCACTTTCTAAATGTGTTTTCCTCACTCGACGCATCAGTGCATAAAGAAATTCCTGAATAACTCTCCATATGTAATTATACCCAGTGTAACTAATATATAATTGCCAGGATCGTCTAATGAAGACATTTCTATATTCTAATTGCAACGAACCTGTCACGACCATCATGAATATGTATTTGATACTGTAATTTCCCACTTGGCTTTGAGCGCCTCCGTTTTTATGGGTTTTGGATCCGTTAGCCATTAATTAAACGTATAATAAACACTTGGAGGTAAACTTTCAAGGAGATAGCCACTAATTAGTTTCACATTTGGTGAGGTTGTTCCTTTCACTTTAGATCTTTTACGGCGGTTCGTTTGAGAAGTTCGGGTATGTTAACTGGAAATCTTGCAGACTCTGTGGAAGTGTTTAGCAAAATATACAAAATTATTTATGGTAAACCATGTAATACCATTGCCGCGAGTAAAAAAATCCCCTTGAAGAACAAGGGAACTTTCATAGGAAGGTGGTCTTAGCATTGCATTTTAACAATTTGCCCTAGCACATTACATATTTTCGGTCGAGTTTTCGACCACTGGACGACCACTAGTACATTATAAATTTTGCACCTTTTCGTAAACAGTTTTAGGTAAGACCTTTCCAAAATTGAACCTACACACGCCCAACGTGTTATACATATGAATGTGAAACACTACTGAAGTAGCAGTAAAATGGTATTTCTCGAATCTAATTCCTCAATGGAAGGGGAGGCTGGGGCGAACTAAGCCCCGCGACGGATATGCGCCATTTTGGAGGGTGAAAGTATTAAAATATTCACCAGGCCAAGTTTTTCCCTCGTTTCCCAATTCTTGTCTCGAATGCAATTGTAGCTAACTTGGATAAGGGAAAGTCCCTAAAGTCAATATTATCATATTGATACGAAAAAAAGTATCTTGATGCCACGGACGTCAATGTGAAGACAATTGGAGAATACAGAGTTTCTTGATATTGGAGAGTAAAATAATATTGATTGGATATATATATGTATATATAATCACCATAAGTCACACAACTTTATTTTCAAGTAAACTGATTCAGTATGCAAATATATAATTTCATCGTCAAATACCCTAACATTTTTTTGAAACATACATGATCAGTAATTATACTCATAAGCTTGCACTTTCGTCGTTGATTAGAGATGAGGGCATAAAGACAACATGTTTTATGTATTTTATTTATGTATCATCACATTGCATACGTTACTTTGGTTGAAACGTGATTAATGTATAAACTGTCCAACAGTTTTTGTTTTCATATATTCGAAAAAACCCAACGGTATATTATAAGAAACTGTTTTTTCTTGCCTAGAAATATTCCAGATTTTCAAACGTCGAAAGACTTCTTCAACAATTACTGGTGGAAAATATCCAAAAAAAACCTTCAAACAACCTAAAAAAGTCTCTAAAACAGGATTACACAAACAACTCAATAAGCCTCACCCGCAAACAAACCTAATAAAAATCCCTTTACAAATCCCTCGGGGGCTCCCGCTATTTCGCAGGTCCTTAGACATGGTAAGGCGATGGTTGGGACGACGCAATGGGATAAACCCGCAGTCTAGCCGGGGGGGAGGGGGGGAGGGGGTGAATAATAGATCAGCTGAGTGGATTGTGACGGTCCGACTGTCTGCACCCCTCCCGCCAAACATAGAGCGCTCCCGCCAAAATAATGCTCCTGTCTACTCCCTTCCCGTGATAACTGATGACTCGAGATCCAACCTCTAGATGAATGCATTTGTTTATGTTTAACAGGGAAAACTGTTTTGGTGAAGGATTTTTAACTTTGATTTTTTTCTGCAAATTTGATCTTCTTCCGCTTTAGGTTAGATAAATTTAAGATTTTATTTTTGATCGTAGAACGTTGTTTACCCGTTAAAAGGGAAATTAATATTTTGGTGATAAAACTTTTAGCTAAGTTAAGTCCCATTTCATCTATGGATTGGTTTGTGAATTTATTTTAATCCGTATAACATAGGTACCTCGTCTAAAAATATACCTTAGTGAATAACACGTATTCAAGAAAGCAAATACAGGAAAAGTATAAAACCTTCATGGCAACAAATAACGTTCCAATTTCTATTCAATTCGTTATATCCCCTACTTATGTACTTAAAACATTATACTGTATGGCTTTTGATTGATCTTTAACTTTACCATGTAGGTTAGTCTTTTAACTAAGTTGAAGTAGGAGTAGCTTAGATTAGAAAGTTGAAGTGACGATGTTTCTGCAGACTACTTTGTTCAAAATGAGGACGGAACTCAACTAGGCATATTGTTATGGCTGTGATATACAGTAAAATTACTTGGGTAGCTTTAGTAACAGTTATTGCAGGAATTTTAGTCAGGTTAGCCTTGAACAGCTCATTCCCTTCTTCACTGCATCAATGCCATTCATTTATTGTTACTTTAATACATTACCTTACAAAAGAACGAGAGGTATTTTTAAGTCAATGGGTTAAATAGTAACCCAATAGGAGATCTCGTGTTCACATAAATAGTAAGACAATTTAAATATGCATCGACAAGAAGAACCGCCAGAGATAAGTGATTCTGTTAAAATGTAAATAGCCAGGAGAGGGCAGGTGGCATCCTTGGTAATGTATTGGATGGGGAACTGCGGAATTGAGTTAAACGAGCGGAACGAGAAAATAATTCGATTCCGGAGAAAAATCGGGGGCGATAAAATGAATCTTTACTGAGTAGCCGCATTATATGGTCCTTCCGAAACGTTTTAAAACTTACGAAATGCTTGTGGTATATTGTAATAGAAATTTGATTTTGTGTTAGCTAGGCCTAGTTTGTTAAATAATGTAGGCATAGAACCATTGACTATTAATCCTTAGATCCGTAGACTAATAGACAATGGTACAACACATTTTACTTAAAATTCCTAGTACTGTACTATGATTTATTTGTTAGTTGTAGTGTATGCTCGACAGTTCTAGAGACGCGAGTTCGAATCCCGTCAAACGCCAGATTTGAAGCTGTATGTGACAAGTTGTGATATGATTGTTCGGATCCTACTATGAGCTTTTATTTACCACCAACCTAGAAACTAAAAAAATGTAGGTTTCTT